ATTGCCTATTCTCAGTCGAATATCATAAAGAAAATATATGGTTTGAAAAATAATTTACTTTTTATAATCTTCTTTTTTCAATTTAAGTGTTATATGTATATTTTATTTTAAATTCACTCTCATAATACTCTATATTTAATACTGGTGTTATATTTATTATAATAACATTTACCCATCTTTTTCTTATCCATTTTTTATTTTTCTTCTTAGTTTTTTTTTATTAACAGTTCTTTTCCCATTCTTATTATACATTATATTACCACTTCACCCATTCTCCTATATCCCCTTGAATCCTTGTACTTTGTTTGCTTTTCTTTACGAGGGTCAAAATTCAAGAAAATATTTCAATAACAACAATAATAAAATTTGTTATATTCCTTACATAGAAAAAGATTTTTTTTCTTGAAAAAAAACAAAAACTAAACAGAAAAATGAAATTCACAAAACTAATAAATAAACTAAATCTTAAATGAGGATTGAGGTATATGAAATAGAGACTGAACAAAAAAAGAAAAAAATGAAAATGAAAATAAAAAAGATTAAAAATAATCATTAGTTCATCAACTAATTATGTCAGCACAACAACCACCTAAATTCGAAATAAAGAAATGGAACGCTGTTGCTTTATGGTCGTGGGACCTTCAAGTAGACACCTGTGCTATTTGCAGAAACAGTCTTATGGAATTATGTTTAGAATGTCAAGGAAATACAGGTTCAACAACCGAAGGTTTGTTTCATTAAATAGTGTATAAATAATTCATGATATTTATCTTTTAAGAATGTACTGTTTCATGGGGAACTTGTAATCATGCATTCCATACTCATTGTATTTCTTCATGGTTAAGACAACGTGCTGTCTGTCCCCTTGATCTCAAGCAATGGGAATATGCTCGTATTGGTAAGTAAATTTTAATCTTTCTTTTTTGTTTTATATCTCATAAAATTATAAATCACAGATTTATCATTATATTGTGTTTTTAATCTTCTTGTTTTAAAGTACAGAAAAAACAATGCAGAGAAAAATACTATCAGAGACAATTAAAATACCTAAAAAATACTTTTTCATGAAACGATTAAACCCTCAGGGTTGATGATGAGACAAGAAAACCCTTAGAATTGATTATTTCATAATAGTTTTAGGTGATGGCTGCTAATATTGTTCAAGCATTTCAAGCAACTTTAAGTCCTGATCAAAATATTAGAAATCAAGGAGAACAAGTTTTAGATTCATTAACTACACAACCACAATTATTACCACAAATAATTCAACTTGGAACAGCTAACTCAGGACAATCTGATGATATTCGTAAATCAGCATTATTATGTTTTGGAAGAACAATTAATAAAATAGACGATCTTAAGTCTGTAAACCAAGATGTTTTACTTCAAATTTGCAATTCATTAATTAATTGTATGAAAAATGAAACATCAGTACATCTTAAAGGTGCTGTTGCTGCTGCTGTCAGTAATTTTGCTCAATGCATGTCTGATTCAGAACTTGATTGGAATGGATATTTTCCTACCATTATTGAAATTTTAAGAGACCCAAGACCATTACAACAAATGATCGCACTTGATACACTTCAAGCCTCTGTTTCACTTAAGGGATCAGAGACTTTAATTGCTCTTCAGCAACAAGTTGTTCAGTTTTGTATTCAAGCCTTAACAAACGGTGATGCAACAATGAAACTTACTGTCGTTGATTTTCTTTCTAGTGCAATAGTTCTTTTAGAAACTACTGAACAACATGGTGCTTTTGCTAAACAACTTATTGTTCCATTACAAAATACATTGATTTGGCTAATTCAAAATAATAGATTTGATGATTTTGATAATGCATCAGCATCATTTTGTGAGCTTATAGAAAATTCTGAATATCTTTTTGTTGGTAATGAAATTAATATTGCTACTCAAATGTATCAACTTTGTTGTTCTGCACAACATAAAGAAACTCAACAAAGTGCATTAGAAATTGCTGTTTGCCTTATTTCACAAGTGCCACATCTCTTTAAAAAAAATCCATTACTTTCAAATATAGTATTGAAACTTCTTGAATGGTTGAAGTCTATAGATAATGATGGTGCTGAACTTCTTCTCAATGATGAGGATCCAATTGAGGTTGAAAATTGGTCATACGCTGAAGATGCCTACTTTAGAATAGTTGAAGCAGTTGGAGGAGCACCAATTAAAGATGTATTATTCAAAACAACCTTAGAGTATTTAAATATGGATCAATGGAATGCAAGATATGCTGCTCTTGTTGCTCTCTCATTATCAGTCATACCTGGAAAATATATTTTTAAAACTACGATGTCAGATTTAATGAAAATTGTACTTAAATTTGTTAATGATCCACATCCATTAGTATTGCATGCATTACTCGATTTACTTGAAGAATTAATTGAAGCATTCCCTAAGATGTGTAGAAGAAGACATTTTAATGAGATTATGCAAGTTGTTATTGTGTCATTTAACTCTACAGTTGTCATTGTCCAAGACAAAGCTTGTTTTGTAGTTAATTCTCTTCTTGAAGAAGATCAACAAACTGCAGAAAAACTTTTACCATTTGCACAACCATTAATGGAAGGTATTTTCAAAACATTAAATACCTCTAATTTAAAAGCTGTTTCATCTGCATTATCTATTATTGTATTTATTACTCGTGTACTTCAAAAACAAATGGAAAGTTATTATCCATTATTAAAGAATGTTGTTGATACATTATTACCAAAATGTAATACTAAAGATACTTTGGAGCATAAAGGAAAATTAATTGAAATTATGTGTATCTATAGTATTATTAATATAACATTCTTCCCTGACTCAAGACAAATTGTTCTCAAAACATTTGAAGAATTATGTAATTCTAATGATGTAGGTTCACCAATGTTACCATATATTTTAAGTGGATTATGTAGATTTTCAGAAGCAAATGATGCTGGATTTATTCAATATCTTGGTCCAATTGTTCAAATAATATTAAAAAGATTGTTATTAAAAGAAAATCCAGAGGCTGTTATTATAGATAATGAAATTTCAGTCACAAATCCTTATACTGAAGAAAAAGTATATTTACTTCAAACATTGTTTAGAATAACAACTTCTGTTAAAAAAGCATATGGACCATATGTACAAGATACATTAAATGTTTTATTACCATTAATTAGTGATCCAAATGCAAGTATTAAACAAGTCACAGCTCATCTTATTCCATCTATTTTTGAGGATGCTATATTTATGATTCAAGACAAGGGAATTACTGATCATACTAGTATCTTACAACAAGTAGCACCAATTTATTATGGTATTATTGATCATTTATGTATGTTATTAAAGAAAGAAAAATTCACTGATAATATTCAATCATATTTAACTTGCTTAAAGATGGTACTTGTTCTTGGTGGAGATAATACACTTGGAGAAGATAGAATTGGATTGGTATTTGAATCATTTGATGAAATTCTTAAGAAAATTCTTGATGGAGTTGGTATTGAAGATGATGATGAAACCATTCAAATTCAAAATGTTGATACAGATGTTCTTGATGATGAAGAATATGAAAAGATTCAAGATGCTGCTGAAGAAGAGGATGACTGGTTATCTTTAATTTTAGATATTACTTCATATATTTGTAAATCACATCAAAAGACATTCTTTACTCCATTCCAATACAAATTATTCCCAAGAGTTATGATTTATTTCAAACAAGTAGAAGATAGTGATAAAGTTTCATTTGCAGTTGCCATTATTGGATGTGTTATTGTTGATGGTAAAATTTATGATTTTGTCCCACAAATTGCTGATCAATTTATTGAATTTTCACATCATAAGAATATTGATATTGCTAATAACGCCATTTATTTCCTTGGTCAATTTGCTAAAGTTGATATTCCACAATTTGTTCCATTTATTCCAAAAGTTCTTCAATCTATTGGATCTATGTTAAGCAGACAAAGAACTCGTGCAGCTGTTGAATTAGCTGATCAAGTTTTAATTTGTGTTGGAAACATTATTGGACATTATTATACACAAATTCCAAATTGGCAAATGATTATGCAACAATGGCTCAATTTATTCCCAGCTAAATCAAGTTATGATGAAATAGTTAGTTTATTATCAGATCTTCATAACAGAGGATTATTATTAGAAATAATGAAACTTGGTAATGTAGCTGAAAATATATATAGAGTAGTATTATACTTTGCTCGTTCGTTAGAAAATGAAAATACATCAGATGAAACTAAAAAATATATTGCTCAATTAATTCAAGCATTATGTCCATTAGTACCACAAAATGTTATCTCTGAGATTTGGGGTAAATTGAGTATAGACCAAAGAGGAGATTTAGATTCATTGTTCCATAAATGAATAAACGTTTATTGAATGTTTTGGTTAATTTTTTATCTTTAAAAAAGAATGAATACTAACCCTAATAATTCATTATAAAGTCAATTTTAGTTCTTTTATTGAATTGGAATGACTTGCAATAATCAACAAGTAAACTTGGAACATGACACTAATTTAACACAACCTATTCAATTAAAAAAGAAAAAGGAATTTAGTTTCAATAATTATAAAACAAGACATATTGCCATTCATTTGACTTATATTGGAATTGATTATAATGGTATTCAATGTACATTATTAAATGATGTCACAGATGCAACATTTGATTCAGTGGTTAATGATGGAACTATAGAATATCAATTATTTAAAGCACTCTTTAAGACACGACTTATTCAAAATACAAAAGATTGTAAATATAACAGATGTGGAAGAACAGATAAAGGTGTTTCAGCATTTGGACAAGTAGTTGATTTATGGGTAAGAAGTAACTTAAAAGATGAAACAATTTTATATACTAAAAGAGAAGGTGAATTGGATTATTGTCGTATGTTAAATGGATTATTACCAACTGATATTCGATGTCTTGGATGGTGTGGAGTTCCTGATGACTTTAACTCAAGGTTTAGTTGCCAGTCAAGGACATATCATTATTACTTTGATCCATCCTCTTATGATGTTCCTAAAATGAAAGAAGCAGCTCAGTTGTTTTTGGGAGAACATGATTTTACAAATTTTTGTAAGAAAGATCCTGCTGTTTCTCATTGTGTAAGAAGAGTTAATTCATTTGAAGTTGAAGAAACAGATGGACTAAGTAGATTTGTTGTATGTGGGACTGCTTTTGTATGGCATCAAGTTAGATATATGGTAGGAGCTTTATTTGCTATAGGACAAGGTGCTAATCCAGAAAGCATTAAACAGTTATTAGATGTTGAACATTATACTAAACCAAATTATTTTAAATATGCACCAGCATATCCATTAGTATTGTATGAATGTAAATATGATGGAGTTGAATTTTTATGTGATAATTCTAATGTTAAATTGCTTGGAGATATTGTAGAGGCATGGAAAGAAATTGAGATTAAAGGAATGATGAGAAAGAGTTTAATGAAATTAGCCATGGAACAAAAGATGAGTGATGGAAAACTAACAGTAGGAGAGAAGATGAAATTAGTAGAAAAGAAGAAAATAGAACTAAAACCAAAGAAATTAGATAGTAATAATAAATAAATTATTATTTTTATTATTAGTGTAGTTGTGATAAAGAATGTAAACAACGTAATAATAAAGGTTGAGAAAGGTCAATAATAAAATCATCTCCTCCTTGAGAATTAAATGTTGCAAAAAAGATTTGAGTTATTTTTTCAAACAAAATTGGATGGTCATCAATTAAGTCATTATTTTCAAAATAACGAAGATACTCAATAGAAACATCAGGAAGTAAATGTGAAAGTGAAATTGAAAAATCTTCTAAATATTTCCAACATGAATTTGCTTCATGACAACAAAGTAACTCCATTGATTTTTTTACTGAACAAAAAGGAGCCATTTTTTCTAAAGTAGGAGATGATTTACAATAACACCATTCAATAAATATTTGTGCTGAAGTTTCTGATACGTCAAGTTTTAATGAAGGACAATGAGGTATAATAATTGATGAATGAATATGAGTAAATCCATTTTGGTAATTAAAAATTGCATCAGTTTCAATATCTCTTCTTGTTTTAAATATTTTAAATAATGTAGGGTCACAAGCAGTTAATTTAGGAGTAGTTGGTGGTATAACTTTAAGATAATGAAAAGGGGTATTTCCATTTTCATCAATATCTAAATAGTTAGCACCATTTTCAATTATATTAATAATTTCATGAAAATCATTTTTTATACATGACTCAATGAGGGACATAATAAATAAAAAAAAAGAACTTAATATCCTCTTAGTTTTGCTTTTTTTATCTTTTTTATGAAGTAGTTTTTTAGTTCAAAAAAAACGAAAAAAATATAAAAGCATCTATTACTTTTCTCCTTTGTAATCAACTGCTATGAGTGACCTTGATTCATTTTCACAGAATTCTTATAAATCAAAGACTTCTTCATATTCAAAGAAACCAAATCAAATTTCATTTAAACAATTAGCTGAAAAAAGTTTATTAGATATTAAAGTTTGTTTATAAAGAAGTTAAATTTATAATTTATTAAAATTACTTTTGTAGCACAAATTTTATGAATCAAATTCTATTATTCAACCAAAAGAAGAAAGTAATTTAAAATTATTTAAAAGAGTAAGTAGTATGAATAGTACTAATTATGATTGGAAAAGACTAAGGTGTTTTCATTTTAGTTTAAAAGAAATGAGAATTAATGATTTAAATATGAAAGGAATACCAATTGGAATGTATAATATTATGAAGTATCTTTATAATTCTCTTAGTAATAATCTTGATTGGTTTGAACAAAAAGAAATAATGGAATTTTCTGAAATAAGACAAATGAAAAAAGTTGATTCTTTATTATCTTTAACTACATTTGAATTATTAAAAAATTATTCATTAAAGAAATTACTTCAATTAGGTATTACTCAAAAAGATGCTGAACGTATTCTTTTGTTATGTAAACAGAATGACCATAGAGATTATTTTAGTTTGTTATTATATATATTAAATCTTTAGTATTATTTAATTCATTATAATTTAGAACATTTAAATAAAAATTCATTATTTGAGAATGAAGACATTAAATTATATTTCAATTTAATTAATAAATTTAATTCATCTCAAATTCCTTTATTAAATAGTATTTGTACAATACAAAATGCATTTGTATTATTAAAACTATTCTTTTTATTTCTTCCTACTCCAATTATTCCATTTTGTTTTTTAGATTTTATTAAACAACAAGAAAACTCTAAATTAAATAATCAAATTGTTATCAACAAATTAAAAGAATTGGTAGGAAAAGTAGAATTCAATGTTATCAAAGAGTTATTCAAATTTATAAATGAAATTAGTGAAATGACACAATTATCTTCTGATGAATATAAAGAATTTGTAAAATGTTATTTTAATGCAATGTTACAACAAGGTGGATTTAAAAAACGATTTGTTAAATATTTTAATGGTATTACTGAAAATGAACAATTTATTGGAACAGAATATATTCATCAAATTGAAGGAGAAATAATTGTATTAAGAATAGATGAGTCATATTGTCCTTTATACATATTAAATGGAAAAGAAGTTCTTGATATGAAAAATACATCAACATACGTTAAAGGGAAATTGTTTATTACTAATTACAGAGTATTATTTATTCCATCACAATTTATTCAAGAAGATTTTATGAGATTCCTTGGAGAATGTTGGATTGGAGAAATTGATTCTATTTCTACTTTTGATAAAGATGAAGGATTTTATGTTAAATTTCAATGTAAAAATATAAGAGTGTTATCATATTATTGTATTAGTACTAAATTTAATTTTAATGAAATTATTGGTCATCTTCAAAGTTTACAAAATTATCCAAATGAAATTATTTCATTACCTCATAATGTTATGATAAATAAAAATATTGATATAATATGTTCACAGGAGGCAACAAGAATGAAAATTATTTCAAATGAAAAAGGGAAATATTATTCTCCAAATTTACCATTATATTCTCATTGTGTTATTGATACTATTGAAATTAATAAACCTGTTGTTATTGTTTATCAACATTTAAATAAAAGTAAATTGTTACGATTAGCTAAAATTATTAATGAAGATTTATATGAAGAAGTTTATGACATAGGAAGTAAAGCAGAAAAAGCATTAAAAATATATTGTAAAAGTATAGATAATATGGATAATATTGATAATATATTTCAAGACTTAAAAAATTTTGTTTGTGAAGAATCAATAAATTCAGAAAATATAAAGAGTTATAATTCTTTATTGAAGTCTATTAACGAAATAGTTAATAATCTTTTATTTAAAGTTATAATGATTTTTGATAATCTCCATAATTCCTGCGAAGATATTTTATTAATTAATGATAAAACTGGTGAAGAAGATGTTTCTATATTCTCATTCTTAACTCAAATAATTGCAGATCCTTATTACAGAACTTTGAAAGGATTTCTTATTTTATTTCAAAAAGAATTTATTGGATTTGATGCTTTCATTTCTAGTCAAACATTGTTACTTTTAGTATTATTTTTTTTAGCAATAGAAGAATTAATTAATCAAAACTTATCTCAATTTCAATTTGATTCCAGACTAACTTACTTCTGGATAACTCATATTGGGAGTAGACGATTTAATAATAATAATGAAAATGGAAAATGTGACCAATTAAGTGCTATTATTAATTATATATATTCTGATTCTTCTAGATTTATTAATCCTTTTTATAAACCAATACAAACTGAATTAATATTTAAACCATATAAATGTTATTATTCATTTGATAAGTGGTTAGGATATTCAAAAGATAATATTAGTCTTTTTAATAAACTTAACAAAGACAAAGAGGTATTACAATTTTCAAAAAGGAATATTTCTCAATTTCCACCTTATCAGTCACTAACATTATTATTAAAAGATGTTTTATCTATTGACCTTTCATCAAATAGGATGAGTGAGTTTCCACCATCTTTGTGTTTAATGACAAAACTCAATAAAATTTCATTGCAAAGAAATGAAATTTATTATATCACTGATGAAATATCAAAATTAACTAATTTAAATGAACTTTCTTTATCTCATAATAATATTACAATACTTCCATCATTAATTTCTCTTCCATTGAAATTACTTGATATTTCTTTTAACAACTTAGACAAACACCAGGCATTAGAATTGAGTCCAACGATTGAAACATTTATTGCTCAAGGTGTAAAGTATTATCCAACACCAATTTGTGAATTAACAAACTTAAACATATTAGATTTGTCTCACACAAAATTTGAATTAGAGCCATTATTCAATAACCCACCAAACCATTTAAAAGAATTAATTTTACAACATTGTGAACTTAGAAAAATACCAGAACATATAACAAAATTATCAGTCACTAAACTTGATGTAAGTCATAATTATATAATGAAAATAAACCATTCATTCTTTTCTTGGAATAGTCTTATTGAGTTGAATCTTCGAGATAATCAAATATATACAAAGAGCGTTTTATTTAATAATATGGATAACCTTATAGATTGCCATATTGATGCTCAAATTACACAAAGTTCTTTATCTTGTGATACTGATAACATTGATATTCAAGCTATTCAACAAGTTATTATAAGTGGAGATGAACTTCGCAATGATGTTTTCCAATATCTTCTCAAGAAGATGAAAAAATATGGAAGTATTAGAGAAATAAAAGAGTTGGGGTTTGATTTTATTATAAAGTCAAGTAAAAAGAAAGAAAAAAAAGGATCTTCAGAAGTGCTAGCTACTATTCATTTTAAAGTTAAAACACCAGAAGAAATTGAAGACACTCTATGGGAATATTCAAAATGTATTTTCGTTGTTTGTAAATCAACAAATGAGAATAGTATTAGTGAAAGAGTTATGGAGATGTTAAAGTTACTTCCTTATTCATTAAAGATACATTTTGTTAGTGGACTAGAGCGATGTGAGAGGTATATAGAAATGTATAAAGAATTAAGTATTACAGTTCATAAAAATATTGGAGATAAAAATAAATGGAGTGGTTTATCAAAGAAAATCTTTGAACAAATTAATGGTAAAGTTAATAAAGATGTAAAACCTTATGTTCAAGTAATGGTTGAGTTAAATGTTTTAGAATTTGATCAATTTTGTCTTAATAAACAAAAATTTTCAGAGATTGTTCATTGTCTAAATTTATCAGATAAAGAGAAAGAAATATATGAGGTATTAATTAAATGGGGATATTTTATTCAAATGCCATCTGTATCTCCTTTTATTGAACAAACAATTAATTTAAATAAAGGAGATATGGTTTTGATTGACTTCTCATTCTTTAAACGATTTTTGAATATTGCAGATTCAACACTGACAGTAAATGGTTTCTTCACAGTTAAGATTTTTGAACGATTAAACATTCAACAAGAAAATCTATATCTTTTATTAATTCTTTTACAACAATTTGGTATTTGTTATATTCTAACTAAACAATTTGCTGCAATTGTAAACGAAGAAAAACGATTTAATGAACTTTATTCTGAATTAATTAATAATAAAAGTGAAACACCTTCGATAGAAGGGACAATAAGTTCATGTTCTTGTAGTTGTTCAGTTAGTTCTGAATATACATTTAGAAGAGAACCAAAGACTAAAGGAGAAATGTTAAATCTTGAAAATGTATTAATATATCCATCTTGTTCATTTAAAACATGTGAAATATCTCCAAAAAAAAGTGAAAAAGAAAAGAAGGTAAAAACAGTTGATGCTAATTATTTAAAAGAAAATAGTATTAATAAACAATGGCCGAGTCATCATTATAAAAATGAAATTGAAGTTGGTAGAGTCTTAACTTTAACGTCTTTGAACTTTAAAATTTTAAGTTGTATATTAGCAATGGTAGCATTAAAATATCATGTCATTATACAATGGAAGAGTGGAATTCTTGTTTATTTAGAAGAATCAAATGAAAAAAATTATTTAATGATTTATGGAAATTTAAATCAAAAAACTATTATTATTAGACAACGTTATCTTATTACTTCTAGTGATTCTTGTTTCATTGCAATTAATGAATTAAAAGAAATAACAGAATTTATTCAAAATATACTTTCAATACATTCTATAAAAATTGAAAGTATAGATATTTATTGTCCATCTTGTTTAGAAAAAGGAGTTTTTCATATTGTTAGTCAAGAGTCTTTAAAGAAAGGAATAAATCAATTACAAGCATTTATTAACGATAAACAATGTTCAATTAATTTAGTCTTATCTTCATTTGACTTAATGATAAAGAAATTTAATAATCAATATTTAATGGATATTAATAATTTTAAATTTAAACAAAGAATATCAAATGGATCAAATTCTATTATCAATTTATTTGAAACATTAAAAAATATTAATGGAATTAAAAAAGGGACTTTAGTTATAATAAAACAGTCAAACTTTGATTTAACAAATATAAATTTACATAACGATAAAAGTGCAGCTGAAATATTTGGTAATTATGTTCAAGAATATCTTAGAGAAATTTCATTTATTGGATTTAGTTCAAGTAAGTATATAGCTAAAATTTATGGGTTTAGTATTCAGCCATTGTCAATTATAATGGAATATTTTAATGGTGGAAATTTATTTAATCTTCTTCATGATGAAAACATAGAATCAAAATATTCCTTAACTCCAAAAATACTTATTCAATTTGCAACTCAGATTGCTGAAGGTCTAAATACATTACATCATGCTTCTGATCCAATTTTACATAGAGACGTTAAGTCTCCAAATGTTGTTATTCGAATAAATAATGATGGATTAGGAACATGTGCAATCACTGATTTTGGTTGTTCAATTCCTTATTCATTAAATAATACTAATAAAGTAGAATGTCCTTATTGGCTTGCTCCAGAGTGTATTATAAACAAAAAGGCATGTCTAAAAAGTGATGTGTATTCATTTGGAATGGTTTTGTGGGAAATGTCTACTAAAAAAATTCCATTTGAAGAGTTTAGATTCTTTACTGAAATTGAAGACAAAGTAATCAGTGGATATAGACTACCATTAGATCAGAAAGAAACATACTTCAACCAATTAATTGAAATGTGTTGGAAATCAAATCCAGATGAAAGACCATCTTTTGATGAAGTTCTAAAACTCTTAAAAAGTATTAATGTTGGTAAATAAATTAAAAACTTCTTATTTTCTTTTTTGGTTTTCTTTATATTCATAAAAGAATATATGAAGTTCAAATTAATATAAATATCAATTAACTGGATTAACATGTATAATAATTAATATTTTATCTTTAATAAAACTTAAAATTGACAAAATAATAGAATGAAAGAAACAATGATATATAAATAAATATAATAAAATTATAGTATTGTTATGAATTTAAATCAACAAGTTATAAAAAAATAAATCATTTGTTAATACAAATAGAAATAATAAGTTTATTTTAATACTTCTATATTCATATGGAATTTAATTAATAAGAAGAATAGTCTAATCAAATATTTTAATCATATTATTTCTTTTTTTTACTTCTTAAGAGGATAGGATAATTCTTTAATTTTATAAAAACTCTCAAAAAGAGGTTTTTAAGTTTAAAATTACCAATGAGAATATGCTTGTACATGAATTAAGAATAATCACAACTTATTAATATTTTTTCTGACTTCAAAGGAATTTATATTTCACAAATAATCATATCTTTTAATCTTTTATTTTAAAGAAATTGAAATAGTAGTTGACCTTTTTGTCTTGTCTTAATTATAAAGCCTTAGATTCTATATATTCATTAAATAAACTATATTAAAGGAATTAAAGAAAGTTAAAAGAAAAAAATTACTGAAAATCTTTTAAAATTTTTTATTAATTCTTGTTGTTTATATTCTTCACAACTCAAAAACCCAATTAACTTCTCCATATAATTCTTTTGCATCAACGACAGTATTTACATCATCAACTCCTTTGACTATCTCTTCAATTTCTTTGATCAAATCATCTTCTTGTTTTTTCTATTAAAATAAGTAATAATTTTTCTTAAAAAAATATATGAAACAAACCATTTCTTGATATTCCTTCATCAAACCTTCGAATGATTGTTCTGTTTTTGTTTCATTTTTACTCTCATTTCTATTATGCAAACAAGCTTTCTTTAGAGTATTAAAGTCAACATTAGTTGTTATAATTTTTTCATTATGATGGTCGTTATTACCAATAGACTTATTGTTACTTATTAACTTAGATGACGTTGCCTTATGTTTGTTTTTATCTTTTGATGTAATTTCATCATTTAATTTATTAATATTTGGTATTTTATTAGAAATGTCAGAAGCCTTTAATATATCAACAACCTCACTTTGTTTAACAATAAATTGACTAATATCTTCATACTCTTTTGTTGCTTTATTAATCTTTAAGTTGAGTTCAGTAACATCATAATAACGTTCTATACCTTTCATTCTTTCATCTAAATATGTTGCAAGTTCTTCAATATTATATTTGATTGAAATTGTTTTAAGTAACATAAGAATGATATAGTGGACATAATTACGATGTTTAGCGTCTAGTTTTTGTATTCTTTTTGACATATATCCAATTAATGGAATAGTTTCAACCAATTCATTTAATTCACCTCCAAGAATAATATCTCTCCACAAATTATAAATTTGAACCAGTTCATCTGTTTTAGTAGATGATTGTAATAAACTTTCAGCTAAGTCATATTTAATTTGAGTAGAGAATACAATATCATTATTTTGTTGTGTAATTACTTCATCACTTCCAAATAAAAATTCACGAATAACTTTAACTGAGTTTGAACGAATTTCATGATTTGAAAAAACCAAATTACTTAAAAACTTAATAAAAGGTATTCTATCAATGCGTTGAATAACATCCCTTTTAATTAATGGAACAATTTTAATCAGTAATACTGTATTTAAAAATCTTTTAGATTCTGATGAATTGTCACTTTCACTAAATACAAATGAACAAAAATCACTTTTTATTAAATCATCATTAACTAATTCTAATGTTTTTTGAATTAAATCAAACACTTCATTAATAAATTCTTTTGCTTCTGAATTTTCTAAATCATCATATGAAGTAATAGAGAAAGTAAATAATGAATGAATTTTCCTTAATAAATCAGCTGAAATATCATTTCTTCCATCAACTAATTTTTGTACTAATTTTAATTGTGATAATTTAACAGAGATAGATTCTGTCTTTGGAATATGGTCTAATATAGATTGAATCATTACATCTTTCATTGTTACTTTAATTAGTCCAGAAATTTCAACAATTAATTCTTGTGATAATTTATTCTCCCATTTTTGAGATGAGTCTAAATAGTCTTTAATCCCATCCATAAATTTAGTCATTGTTATCTTATCTGTAATTGAACTAACAATATCAAGTACAATGTCTTTTGCTGCTTCGTTCGTTTCATTCTTATTTAAACAATCAAAAATTACTCGTAATACTGTTTTTGACCCTAAAATTTGATCAATTTCTGATACCATTTGGAATATTAATACACAATCTTTTAATGCCCCTAATGCTTGTTCAGAATCTTTTGTATCATTAACTGCACTTTTTGTTAAATCTAATGGAAGGTTTTTAATTTCATCAAAATTTGCACGAATTGATGTTTCATTACAAGCCTTTACATAATACCCTAATAACTGCATCCCTGCTTGTTTAATTTTTGGATTAGCTGATCCAAGACATTGTCTAATAACTCGAACAATTCTTTCATCCATTAATGCTAAATGTTCACGACAATTATTTGATAATTCTCCCATTGTTCTTGTTGCTTTAACAACGTTACTAAAAGTGATGAGTTAAAACACAAACATTATATGACATAATAACACAAACACTTCATTTGTAAAATTTTTAGTGATATATTCTTCAAGAATTCTAAAAACTTTAGGTAATTTAACAGGAGTAAGTTCAACACTATGATGAAGTTTATTGAAAGCAGCAACATTAAACTCTTTTTCCTCAAGTAAAGCATATAAATTCTTCTTATATTTTGATCTTAACATCTCTAAATTGATTTAACTATTTTCTATATAAGTTTTTTATTTTTCTTTTTTTTTTCTTTATGTTTTTCATAGAAAAAATATTTGACAATAAAATACTTTATTTGAGTATTTCGTTATGAAACAAATTATTGTTTCTAATCACTCTATTAATCTTTTGAATAAAAAAGTTTATGTCTGTAATTAAAGAAATTAAGTTTTATCAATCAAATACTTTAATTAATAAATACATTATAATAAGATTAGTTCATTTTATACTATAATAAAAATGTTTCCTTATTGATGTTTCTTTTCATATAATAACTACTTTCTTTTACTTAAAAAATAATTCTTTCTGCATTGATAAATTGTGATTATTCTTAAAATTTTTTGGTATAAATAACTTAATTTTATAAATCATAATTTTTTTTTGACTAACTAAAAGTCTAATTAATGAGAAAAAGAACTAAAACTTAATATTGTTGCCTCTTATTTCTTTATGTCTGTCAAATGGCAATGGCTTGATGATTATCAATGGGTTGACTATGATAAAAAAACAAGTTCATTATTAGAAAAGTCATATCTTGAAGGAAAAAAATCCGAAAGTTGTGATAAAGAACGATTTGTTGAGTTTTGTGATATCCACACGATCCATGATAATTTTTCTTCATTACCAAAAGACTACAAATCACTTGTTGGTATTCAAAGAAGAAAAGATAATCCAAATAGAAGAAGACTGGTTCAAAGATTAATACCAGCAACATATGATGGATATATTGTATATATTATAAAAGAGTCATTAGAAGATGGTGTTGATTATGATGGATTAATTGATATTATAAAATTAAGAAAAGGAAAAATAACAAATAAAATAAATAATTCAACTCTTGTTGTTTGTGATGAAACAACATGGAATAATGATGTTAGAAAGTTGATACAACAAGTTCTTGATGATAAAATCCCAATTGTTACAAGTACTTTTGTAAATAAAAGTCTTGATTCATATAAATTAACTACAAAAGATCTTCAAATTAAAAATAATGAATTTGCACAACGACTAAATGAGAAGAAAGAGATTTCTATTAAAAGAATGAGAACGTTTGATGACTTATTCCAAGCAAAAAGAAAAATTGATTTGAATATGACTTTTTCAATCCCTTTTGAAATTAAAGAAATTGATGATACAAAGATTATTCTTATGAATGAAGGTAAAGACTTTGATTTACCTGTAAAACCCAATAGAATTTCTGTTTGTTTTATATTTAATATAATTTCATTTAAAAAAAGTTCTAATTTTATTTCATAGAATGTGGTTGATTTATTAAAAGGTTTGTCTAAACAACTTGAATTACAATTTAATGATGGAAAGTTTGAAGGGAATGATGGAGAAAAAATCAAAATTGAAATACAATAATTTTTTTTTAAAGTTTTTATTTTTTTAAACGAATAAATTAAAATTATTTTTAACTTCGTCTTTTTCTCTTTTTAATAGAAAAATTCAAATAACAAAAAATGATTTTTACATTCTTTTTACAATTTATTATATCAAACAATCCATTAATGTCAAAAACGCCTCAAAAAGAAATTAGTTCTGGTGAATCTAATGGACAAAATAAAAGTGATGATCAAATCATTAATCAATCTCTCATATCGGAGAAATGTATTAGTTCAACTAATTCTGAAAATAATACATTTTCAGAACCGACTCAGTACAATCAAAAAAATGAACTAATCAAAGAAACAGTAACAGAAGAAAAAAATAAGGAAAACGTATTGAATGAAAATGAAAAAGTGGAATTTCTTCATAAAGTAATTCCTTATACTAAGAGATTAAAAGACAAACCTAAAAGTCATTTAGTTGAAGAAGAAAATGTTGGTCAATCCATTCATCAAACTAAAAGAGCTACATTCTCTTCTGTAAGACTAAAAGAAGATAAAAGCCTTAATTCAATAACTCCAAAAGATGTTTTAGAAAGTATAAATTCAGAAGAACAAGCAACTCCTAAACCCACCACATTAACTATTACTCCACATGAATCAAGAGATTCTAGAATTAAAAGTACAACAACGGCATGGAGTAATACAAATAGAAATCAACTAAGAAAATCAATGAGTTTATGTACTACTCAAATCACAAGTAATACATTAGAGGCTATGAGATCAAATGTAAAGATGTTTGATGAGATGGTTATTGAAGTGGAAAATACATACCAAAAAATAAGTAAAGCAAGAGATAGGATATTTGAAATTGTTAAATATCAACAACAAACAATAAAATGTAATGATTTTATTAAGAACTATTCTGAGATTTTAACTTCAATTCAAGAAAGCACTAGTCATATGTTAACTAATGAAACAGGAGATTTAGAGTCATTAAAAGAATTCACAGGTTATATGTCTGAATTATATCTTGTTGGTTTTCAACAATTTAAAAATCAAACCCAACAATTAAACCGTCTGATGAAAGAGGGAAAAAAATTACTTGAAGATAGTAAAACATGTATAAAATCAAAAAATGAATTTGATAAAGTATATAAAGAATATCAAAAAATTAATGGAAAATTAAAAGATGAAAAAGATGATAAAAAACAAAAAATCATTCAACAAACAAGAGATGATATTATCTCAAAAGGCATTGGAGAAGGAAGAAAAGCTTTAGAAGTGTTTGATAGAAATTTACAGAAGTATTATGAAATATTACAAAATAGTGGAAGACATATTTATGAAACTATTCAAAATGGAATGAATGAAGTTCATTCAACAATGGAAAATTATGAAGATAAAATAGATTCATGGAAAGCACTTGATTTTCATAATGAAGAATTTGAAGAAGGTGAAATTAAACCATGGATGAAATCCCCTGAAATTAAAAGAATAATAACAAATGAATTTATGTATGTTAATACACTCACCTTACTTATTGATAGATATTATATTGACATATGTAATAGTCCAATAATAGTACAATGTGGTATATCATTACAAGACATGGATATTATTTTCACAGATATTATTCCATTAATTCATTGCCATAAAAATATATTAATGAAATTAAAAGAATCTAATCCAAAAGAATTTTTGTATTGTTACTCTGCTTATTTTGGTCAATTATATCAACAATATCATAACTATCTAAAACATTATCAGAATAGTTTTATTGTATTAAATAAGTTTATGTCTACTAAACGATTTAAAGAATGTGTTGACAACATTGATTTGATTGAAGGATTTGAAATGAAAGAATTAATCACAGCCCCATTTAATTATATCACAGACTTCTTAGAGAATTTAGACAGAGTAACAACCGGTGATAAAGAAGTTATTAATATTTTAAAGTATGTCTTTGAAAAGTTAGTTAAAGAGAAAGAAATAGTAAAAAAACAAATTATTGCAACGAGTCATCTTATTAAATTGAACAATTTTAAAGGAGATATTAACCAAGAAAGAGAATATTTTGGTAAAGTAGTTATTTCTTCAGGCAAACTAAATGGAACAATGTTTTTCTTTAGTGATTATCTTATCTTTGCTAAGTCAGAGAAAGAAGGATATAATGTCATTGAAATGTTTGAGACATCTAATTTAGAAAATATAAGAGTTATTGATAGAAAAACAATAGAAATTGGAGGTGGGGTAGAAAATACAACAGAAAATAGTAAAAATATACAATTTATTATGAAAGAAGAAACAGTAAAAGATTTTATGGATTGTTTAAATAAAGTCCAACATAAATTAACTTCATATGACATATTTGGTAAAGAAATTACAACAGCTACAATTGCTAGAAATGAACAACAATGGTTATTCCCTAAAATTTTACATAAAATATTTGACCAATGTGAAAAAGTTGCCCCAGAACAAGAAGGAGTATTAAGAGTTTCAGCAAATGTTACTCAAATGGAAAAAGATATAAAAAAAATTAATCGAAAAGAAGAGATTGATGTATCTAAATTAAATGTTCATGAAATGATTAATATACTCAAGAGATATTGTAACTCAATTCCTAATAAATTACCAAGTGAACTACAAACAATAGTTCTTGATGAAAGTGCTTGTGAAAAAATTGAAAAAAAATTACGAGAGATGAATAATGATGGATATTTGGCATTAATAGAACGATTATTTAGATTACTTCATCTTATTGAAATGAAAAAAGAAATTAATTTAATGGGATCAGATAACTTAGCTAAAGTCATTTCACCAAATATATATATTGATGAAGGAATTGTATTTGACATTGAAAAATTAACAAGAACTGTAAGGTTTATGATTGAAAATTATGAAGAAATATTTAAAAAAATTAGAAACGAAATGATAGAACATATAAATAAAGGAAATGAGTTATCCAAACAAATAGAAGCCATAGAAAACCAAATGAATATGACAAAATATAATGAAGAATTATCAAGTTCATATTTAAAAGATAAAAAAGGAATTTCAACAAAAGGAATTACTCTTAAAGATGTTTTAATGCAAAGTGAAGTTGAGTTGTATGAAAATAAAAAGAATATAAAAAGATGGTTGGTCATTTGTAAAACAGAATTAATATTCAAGAAGAATATGGAAGATTTTGAATCACTTATCCAATTACCATTAATTGGATTAACAATAAATATAAATGAAAAAACACAATTAAAAAATGGATCACGTTCTGTTACATTAGTTAATTTTGAAGATCAACCATATTTTGAGTTGTTAAAAAAACTAATTCCCAGTTGAATTGTTTCAATACTTCATATTAAAACATTATTCTTCTTTAATTATTTTATGTTATATAAACCAAATAAAATATAAACATCATTAAAATAATTTTTAATCTTAATAATTTCAATGAACGCTGCTGAGTTACAAGAACAAATTAGAAAGGAAGAACATTTTGAGAAAGAGATGAGAAAAAATATAAGTAAACTAGCAGACTTACAAGGAGATATTGATTTATTTTTGATAGAAACAACTAAATATAAAAACAAATTATTAGAAGAAGAAAAAGTTGAAGCAGATAAAGATAAATAAAAAAAAATTAAGTT